GGGTGGGTTGGGGGGAGGGATCGGGGGGTGGGATCGGGGAGATGGATCGGGGAGATGGATCGGGGAGATGGATCGGGGGGATGGATCGGAGGGATGGTTGGGAGGGATGGCTCGGGGGAATGGTTGGGAGGGATGGCTCGGGGCATGGCGCTGCCCCAGCACCGTGTGTCACACCCGCAATCCAGCGCCTTCCCCGGCACCGCACCTGCGGCTCCCTCCCGCCCGCGGCTCTCCTCAGCCAAGGCCGGCCCGGCTGCCGCAGCGAGCCCGCTCCGCTGTCCCCGGGCACAGCCGGCCCGGCCGCGGGCCCCGCTACCTGCGCGGGCCGGGGAGGGGCCGGGCCGGGCCGGGCCGGGCGGTGCCGGCGGCGGAAGCGCCGCTCCGCCCGCCCCCAGCCGGGCCGCAGGTGGGGCTGCTGTGCCCGGCCCTCCCCCGGCCCCCGGCCCGGCCCGGCCCGCGCTGGCCCCGCGCCCGGCGGGGCTGTGGCCCGGCCGAGCCGCGCTCCGCGCCCGCCTCCCCCTCAGCGGCGCCGGGCGGGCGGCGATGGACGGGCGGCCCCCGGCGGGCCCCGCCGCGCCGCGCTGGAGGCGCCGAGCGACCCCCCGCCCGCAGCCCCTCGCCTGGAGCAAGCTGCGGCCGCAGTCGTACCAGAGCCCCAGCGGAGTGCTCGTCACCGACTTCCCCGTGGAGGACAGGTGCGCCTTCTCCGTGCCTCAGCCCGCCGGCACCGGCAGCCGCGCCATGGGCTCGGTGTCCAACGGCACCGTGCGGCCGCCGGGCTCCCCCGCGCTGGCTCCGGAGCGGCGCTCCCGGCTGTTCTCCCCGGCCCCGGACAGCCCCGTCGGTTCCACCGCCAACGGCAGCATCTCCCCGCCGGGCAGCGGGCAGGGCCCCCGGCCGCGCCCGCCCAGCACCGCGGGGCTGGCCCCGCAGCACGAGCGGATCGTGTTCGGAGCCAGCGCTCAGCCCGCACCGAGCCCCGGCAGCGGCGGGGCCCCGGAGGAGCCGGGGGGATGCCCCGGGAGCGGCTGGGCCCCGGAGGAGCCGGGGGGATGCCCTGCGGAGCGCAGGGTGGGCTCGCAGCAGCTGCAGCAGCAGCAGCTGATTCCCCGCAGCCTGGCCGAGAGCCGGCCCGCCGGCCACGAGCGGGGTCTCAGGGTGCGCAGTCTGGTGGAGCCCCCCCGGCTGGCCCTGGGCAGCGACCCCGAGGACGAGCCCGAGGGCGGCCCGGGCGCGCTGCGGCGCGGGCTCCGCTCCACGTCCTACCGCCGGGCCGTGGTGAGCGGCGTGGACCTGGACGGCTCCAACAACTGCAAGAAGAAAAACAGAATGTCCCAGCCCATCCTGAAAGCGGTGGTTGAAGATAAAGAGAAGTTCTCGAGCCTGGGGAGGATAAAGGTAAAGTGTGCTGATGGGTGAAGGTGTTGGCTCCGTGGGAGCGTGGCCTGCTGATTCTGCATTTTCCATAAATGCTGGGAGTTTTCAGGTTGGTTTTTTTTTTGCAAACACAAAACTTTTCATAGTTACTGTGAGTTTGAAAAGTGCTGTTTTCCAAGTGAGGTGTTGGAGATGAGACTGTTGAAATCCAGGAGGTTCAGAGCCTTTGCTGGCTGCCTCCTGCTTGCCTTTCCCGCCAGATTCTCCAGCTTTCACAACCGAACCACGGTCTTAAAACCTGTGTCCCACAAAGGAGTAAACAGGAAAAAAAAGAGACATTGTCTTAATAAAGTCTGCATGCTAGAATAGAGACATAAAAATGAGCTTCCTCCCCCACTTCTCTATCTGAGACATTACTTTCAAAGTATTTTTAAAAGTCACTGAGGGATTTTTAAATTGATAGAAGTCGCTTCAGGTATCTTAATTTTAATGCCTGAAAGTAAAAGCAGCATGCCTGTTTGTAAATCTTGGTTGTAATCCCTTAGATTCCTGTAGTTAGACTTACATTGAATGTTAATATATTATAAAGACATACTGATAGTGTTCTTTTACTTATCATAGTGTAATATTGTGTTTCCTTATTTTAAACATAACTTGTTACAGTATGAAATATGTTAATAGATTTCTGTGTAATAAGGTATGCCAGGCCAAGAGCTGATGCTGTAGCTTTTAAAATAATTATCAGCTTTATGGCAGTTTCCAGCCTATTTGAAATTATGGTAGTGGATGCTTCTGTGAAAACACTGCAAGCAGTGAAGTAGAACTTGATGAAATCGTGAGCATCTGCAGGGTGTGGGGTGGTTTGGTTTGGTAGTAGACTTAAAACAGTGAGTTCTGTGTAAGATAGGAGGACATGCCACTGTCCTGTCCTTACAGAGTTCTCTGTAAGTAGTGTTTCATTAGATAGACTCCTGCACTCTGGGAGTTGTTGCAGCAGAACAGCTGTTTGATTTCAGAGGTTTGTTGTGCTCTCAGAAGGCTCCTTCACAAAGTGCTCAGAGTGGAAGGGCAGCCTCTCAGTGCCGCGCCTCTGCAGAAAGCCCTTGGACAGAGGATGAGCTGCAAGTTCACTGAACCCCTCTCAAGACAGTGTAGTGTGTTTTTGAAACACAGGGAAAATACAAAAACAAGGCATGAGAGAAATCAAACTAGAGCAGCTTTTCACTTTCTCTGGTGACACAGTTGTTTTTACTGAGCTCCTGTCCAACATCCAAAGTTTACAGATTAGGGCCTGTTAATTTGGTGCTCAGATCTTGAGCAAAACATTCTTGTCACTGTGATTATTTTGCATTCTCCTCCTCCTAACATATCTCTCTTTTCTGTTAAAATTGTCTGCAGAAGATGCTGAAAGGACAAGGGACATTCGATGGGGAAGGTGAGCCCTGTTCTGTCCAGAGTTGCTAACGGGACCGTGTTGCACACTTCATTTGTCTGCAGTCAAAGACTCAGTGCCTTGTTTTTCAGTGACGGGACTGAGATGTGGGACTGTCATTTTGGCACTAGGCATACCTTAGGGATATTTTAAAGACTATGAAGTGGCAGACTAAAAAGGTGTGTCAAGGGCTTCTCTTCCACTTTTGCTCCTGTCCCTCCCAAAAAGCGAGCTGCTAGCTGTGTTTGCCTCAGCCCTGGCAGTTCCGTAGTGAGCTGCTTTATGAGGGACTGCCTTCCTGCCTGTCCTGGGACTCTGCCCAGGTGCAGGTCATTGGAGCCCTTATGGGTTGGGGCCATCCCTGCAGCACACACCTGAGTCCTTGTTCTGGACTGGGGTTCACACAGCTGTTTCTGCTTTCTCATCAGCTGAGGGTGCTGGGCTGAACACTTGGACTCTGTAAGCATTTTCTCTTCTTGCTACCTAGGCTTCAAATTCAAGTGTCAGAAGACACTGTCTGTGGAGCTGTATTTTTGTGTTGCTTGTTAATTCTGGGTTTTGCCACGTTTGCTGCATTTCCCAATGTTTGAATGAGAAAACATCTATGATGAGTCCACAGAAGTTCTGTTATAATAACTGCTGCTCTCGGCTTTTCTCTGCTTAATGCCTCTTTGAGGTCATCTCAGCTGCTGTGTTACTTTCCTCTTGTTTCTGGTTTCAAAGCTTCCCACTCTTTGCATCAACCCCTTTCCTACTCTTTATTTCTATCTCTTCTCACACCATCTTCTGATGATGTTTTTTAGATTCTCTTCCAATGGCTCCCTGCTGTCTTGGATGATCCCAGCTAGTAATTTTCTCTGTAATGCCTCCCAATTCAGTTGCTGTAACAGTTTCCTCTGTTGAAGGTGTATAAACTCTAGAGACCCTTCCTGAAGAACTGCTCCAGAGGCCACACCTGTTGTGGCACCGGGGCAGGGCTGTAGGTGTGAGCAGGTGGGACAGACCCACCCAGCCAGGTGTGACTGCAGGAGCTGGGGCCCTGCCTGGAGCAGCCAAACTTCCACTTCAGCTCCCCTTTCTCTTGTAGGGGAAGATTGGATGCTGTCCAAAGCCTGGCCCATCTAAGAGTACCTTTCAGAGCCTGCCTGCTTGACAGCTTAATTTGTCTGTGGGTTTTTGTGGTGTTGAATTTCTGTCCTTGCTCACTGCTGTTGCCAGGGGTGTGTGGCCAGCGAGGCTGGGAGTGCTCCACGCCCGTGTTCCTTTGCCACTGATAGTACTGAATTAATGATGGCACAACTCAAATACACCATGAGTGTATTCACGCTTAAGGTTCATAGGTCTCCTGCTTACTCAGACAGGCTTTTAATTTTCTGTTCAGAATAGTTCTGACCTGAGATCTCTGAAATTGGAAGACAGTGAAATGTGAAGACAGTATTGAGAGTGGACAGAGGAGGGGTTGGCATGGGCAGTGTGCTTTTCCTGGACCTGAAAATCATGAGACCTGCAGATCAGTGACTGCTCCACTGACACACAACCCCATTTTCTAATTGCTGGTTAATTACAGAACTGGGTACAGCAAACCAAGGAAGAAAAAATTGTTTGCTATTTTTTTTCTTGACAAAGGCCACATCTGTTCTTTAATTCGGTCTGGGAGGATCTTTGGGTACAGTGATCCATTGTCACTGTACTGCACCATTGTCCAGCCCAAATCAGTTGCTATCTTTGTCTTGTGGAGTGTGAGCATCACAGTGACACTTTGGTTTCTTTCATTGATTAAATGTTACTTCAAATTTTTATGGGAACATCTAAACTAACTTTCTAGCAGTGGCTGACATACTGTTGTTATTTGACAGAAAATGCTGTATTATATCAGAACTATAAGGAAAAAGCTCTGGACATAGATTCTGATGAAGAGTCTGAGCCCCAGGAGCAGAAGCTGGATGACAAGGTTGTTTTTCACTATAAGCCCCTGAGGTCGACGTGGAGCCAGCTCTCCGTGGTGAGTTGTGATCCTTGTATGGCCAGAGACAGGATCTAGGGTGGGTTGGAGCAAAGCCTTCTCTTACTCATGGCTGGAGTTTTTGGCTGAAATTTGTCATTGTCTTTTTCATCTCATAAGAACTACAGGGAAGCCCCAATCATTTACTGGTCTTTGTTTCACATAAAAAACAATGAAACCAAGTTCATTTTAGAGTCTTGTATTTGGCAAAGACACAACTTTATTGATTCATTAAAAAAAGGGTTGTGTGAGTTCACTAAAAGGGTGAATTATACTAAAGAGAGACTTCAGTTAGTTACAAACAAGTTGCTGCTGAATTGTTCTAAATCACTGCACACCAGCTCTTAAGCTGACTGAGTGCAGATGTTTAATGGAAAGCATTTTGAGAAGTGGGGAGCCGAGCTGGTGGTGCTGTGCTGTCCCTTGCACAGGCTGGGAAGTGTCTGCAGGGCTTTGGCAGAGCAGCATCATTAAACAAACTCAATTCAGCTGTTCTCATCAGGGCTGCAGTCTCACTGCCTTCCCTGCTAATAGCTGACAAATTACTGATAGCAGCTGATGCTGCCACAGCTCTTTCTGGTACCTGTGATTTTGGGACTGAAGGAACCATAACAATTCTGTGTTTACCTGGTCGTTCTTTGATCACTTCTGTGGCTCTCTAGGGCTATCCCTGAAATGAAGGGTTTGGGGTTGTTTTTTGTTAATGTAGCTTGTAGAATGTTGTAGGTGCTCAGCTCTGGCATTAGAGAGATTATGCCATGACAAGATCACCTGGACTATTTGACCATCAGCTCTGTATATCCCAGTTAATGAGGGATTAAGCCTCAGGGAGATCCCCAAAGGCTGGTTAGATGGTCTGATGAGCAGAGCTGTCTTACAGATGCCAATGACCTTTTGCAGTTTAAAGTATTGAAAGATGAATCTCTCTGATTCAGTAATTATAAAGAAAGCAAAACACAATGTGTTTTGAAAAGATGTGCTTTAATTATCTTTTTCCAACAATCAAATACTTAAAATATAGTTCATTTGCTTCATGTTGCAAAAAAAAAAAAAAAGGTGTTTATAATGAAGTCAAATTGGTTTTTTCTGCCTTCTGGGCAAACTAGCAGTTAAATGCTCAACAGCTGAGGTATTTTAGAAAGAATGCTATTTAGTAATAATAATGATAATTTCAAAATACTAATTTGCTTTGAGACAAAAATAGCATGAAGACATCTGAGGAGGAGAACTGTTCTGTGCTGTGCTTCACTTACACAAACCAACTTGTTCCTTACTACTCCTCACACAGAAACTTGGGCACTGTCTGTATTTGATTTACAGGATTGGAAGTGTGGAGTATATGGGAAAAGGTGGAGCATGGAGAAAACAAAATCTGGGAACCTGAGACTCATAGTGACTGTGTTTATAACTCTGGAAAAATTACATGCTGTCAATGTGTATTAAAAAGTTAAAAAGTGAGTCTGGAGTTGTTGCAGGAAGTCAGCTGGAAAATGTCAGTCCTGGGTTTCAGCATATGCTAGGAGAGGAGGAGGAGGAGGATGAAGTCTCTGGTGTTTATTAGCAGTGCCTGTGCTGGGAAAGCCAGGGCAGATGCAGAGGGATCCCCTCTCCCTGCAGGAGTTTCCCTGGCAGCTGCTGCAGCTCCAGCCTCTCTGTGCTTGAGGGGTAGTGCCCTTCAGGTATGCAGTTGTCAAACTCTTTATGAGAACAGTCATAAAAAGGGTGTTTCTGTCCTCCTGAAGAGTGTTCACACATGTTGATCTTGGTTGTGACTGGTTTTTCATTCATGTAAAAACCAGCTGCTGTGAGTGGCTTTATGAAACCAGTCATAGGGTCAGTGTCCAGAGCTGCCTCCTTCCAGGGTCACTCACAGAGTCAGTGTCCAGAGCTGCCTCCTTCCAGGACCACTCACAGAGTCAGTGTCCAGAGCTGCCTCCTTCCAGGGTCACTCACAGAGTCAGTGTCCAGAGCTGCCTCCTTCCAGGGTCACTCACAGAGTCAGTGTCCAGAGCTGCCTCCTTCCAGGACCACTCACAGGGTCAGTGTCCAGAGCTGCCTCCTTCCAGGACCACTCACAGGGTCAGTGTCCAGAGCTGTCTCTTGCCAGGGTCAGTGTCCAGGGCTGATGTCTGCACTGGCTCCCCTTTCTCTCCCCATAGCAAAGGGCTTATGGTCACTTTGGGTGCAGTGCAGCCACTTCGTAGATTTCTGGTGAGTTCCCCCCTCCTTGTTTTTAAGGAACTTTTTGTCCCTGGCCAGAGTTCACCTGGCCTTTCATCCTTTGCTTCTCACCTCCATGGCTGAATCAGTCAGTGGTGGGGAAGAGCCAGTCCAGTGTGAAGATAGCAGTAGTAGCAGTGATGCTGGGCCTCTTCCATTCCTTCTGGTCATGTTCTTAGCTTAAATAAAGTTTTTGTCTGCTTAGTATTGCACATGTGATATTTCTTAGGTTATTTCAGCTTAAACATTTTGGACGTGTCAAAATTAGGTATTGAATTTTCTTTGGCAGAAATGGCCAAAGCAGTCTCCATATCTGGGCTCTGTCCTTTGGAAGTGCTGCTGTTGGTGGGGAGTGTGAGGCTGGGCCCTTGGCCTGTGAGCTCACATCCATGAATTTGTGTGTGCTCTGTGGGACATGGCCCTGTGTGACAGCAGTGACCAGGAGACACAGCTGCTCTTGGGACAGGAATTCAGCAGTGCCCCATGCACCTCCCTGGGCACTGGCAGTGCCTGTGTGAACAGGGAGCACTGACATCTGGGGATGTGTTCATAGGTATTTCCTGTCTTGGCCTGTTTTTAGAAAACTCTCCCACTGCATCCAGAAAAAAAGTGACATTGCACCTTTCAGTGCCATTGCACTTCCTCTGAATGCTCTGAAACTTTCAGTCTGCTAATTAAAATGTAGTTTAATTGTTTAATAGAAAGACATCCAATTAGTTCTTGCTCAGCATCCAGAAGTGTCTGCATGTGGTGCTGTGGGAATCTGGGACTTGTGTTCCAAAGGTCAGTGGCTCCCACACTGGAATGCTGATGTTACTTTCATAGGCGTTTACCTGTGAGTCCATATTTTGGTGTGCAGACCAAAGTGTGGCACCTCTTTATTCCTGCTGTCCAGCATTGTGGGGCCTGGTGTGCAGGAATAAAATGAGGAGTAATATATCCTTTAAAATTCCAGGGAACAGGTGGAGCAAGAAGAGAAAGCTGCTGGTGATAGTTTGCTAGGAGCTTTTGGAGAAGACTGACAGAAATGGGTGTGAGGTCTTGTGTCTGTGCTGTGCCTCTGCTCCAGGAAGAGAGCAGGTCCTTCCCCATGTGTGGTGCTGTGGCCCTTTCCCTCCCCTTGCCCTGGTGTCCCTCCTGGTCTGGGTCGTGTGTTTAGAGCTCCTCTAGAGCCAGGCTCTCCTTGGTGCTTTGCTTTCTAGTTTTTGACAGTCCTGTCTCTTCTAAGTCACATTTTCCCACAAAAGATATTAAAAATATCGATTGATTTGTTTTTTTAGGTGAAGAAGAATGGACTGTCAGAAGCAATCAGCCAGGAAGAAAGGAAAAGACAGGAGGTATCTGCTTTGGGGCTGGCTGCTCAGGGCTGTGCTGCACTGGGTCAATGCTCTGTTGGTTGATAAAGAGTTCATTGCTTGGCTCCCTGCCCTCCAGTGAAGTGTCCTCTCTCCCCAGGGAGAGAACGTGGCCCCAGGGTGTGCTGAGGGACGTGTGTCCCTGCCAGGGGCTCCTGGGGTGTTCCCTGCCCCAGCTCCAGCCTGGCAGCAGCAGGAAGGGGTGACATTAACCCCCAGCTCACAGGGCAGGGACGTGGCACATGAGTTTTTACAGCAGGGAGGAGCAAAGAGCAGCTTTTACAGAGCCCCTGTGGGCAGTGCTGAGCCCCGTGCGCCTGCTGGAGCCCAGCTGCCCTGTGCCTGCAGTGGGGTGCTTGTCCTCTCTCTTTCCCCTTTGCTCCTTGTTTCCTCCTCAGCCACTCTCCTTTTCCCCTTTGCTCCCTGTGTCCACTTCATCTGCTGTACCTCCCTCCTCACTGCAGGGCTGTGTCAGAGGGAATGAGGGGTTGCAGAGCACAGCCTGGCCCGGGCCGCTGTGTCCCTGCAGCTCCTCCTGAGCTGTGTCCTTGACAGGAGGCACAAGGCCTCATCCCTCAGCCTTCTCCTGCTGGGAAGCTTTTGAGACAAGGTGTATAGTTCATATCCTTTAGGAGCCTTTAGGCTGTGTTCCCTGGAACCAGACTTTCATCCTTTCAAAAAGAACAAGTTCTTTGGTTGCCTTTTAAATGTACAGTCATTAATGTTACCAAAAATGTTTTCATGCCTAAGGGTCTTTTATTTGAATTTTAGAGGCCAATTTTTCAGTGGGAGCCTAAATAAGTATTTTTAAGTTGTAGTTACATTACCAATTCATGCTTTTGCTGTATTTATTTTAAACTGCCTTTTTTTATTCTTTATCTGTTCTTTAAATTGCTTTTTAGAGCCTATTAGATTATCTTGTTGTTATATTATATGCATTGTCACTGCAGAAAAATATATTTGTCTTCTGCCTTGATTAATGTCCATGTCCTGTCTTCATACCCATCCCATCTTTCAGACTGTGTTAGTGAGATGGATCTCTGTGCCTATTTTGGCTAAGGAAAATGTGTCACAGACTGATTTGAACTAAAACGCTTTTCAGTAGGTCTTTCCTTGCAAGCCTGGAATCCCCATGTATGTGTGTGCCTGGCCCTGAGTGTTACTGTCCTTGGGGTTCACACGTGCCCTGACCCTGATGTGTGCAGATCAGCCCCAGTGTGGCTCCAGGGCCATCCAGGAACGCCCAGCGAGCCCCAGGGAGCTGCCCCCAGCCCTGGGTGTGTGTCAGGCACCCTCCTCTGCTTTTTGTGCTCCAGAATGTGGCTGGGTCACAGTGAGATGGTTCTCCCTCCCTCCCTTGCACAACATAAGCAAAGTGCCTGGCCCATTCCTGCCTGTGCTGATGACTTTGTTCCCAGTCTGGGAAGAGCTCCACCAGGGACCTCGGCCTCCTGCCTCACTCCTGTGCTCTTGGGGTCACACCTGGTGTTGTCTCCAAACTCCTGCTTTGCAGTTGCATTGAAAACTCTGGAGACAGACTTCTTAAAAATGACTTTTTTCTTTTCACTTATTTCTAATTCATGATGCAACTATTATAGAGATGAATATTTAAGTTGTAATCTCTAGCTTACATCCAAAACTTTGCTTTGCACCCCTGCTCAACATTTTATTTTTAAGGAAAAAAGCCCAGTCACTAGTAAGTCTCTTTTTTTCCCCCTCACTTTGCAGGCAATATTTGAGGTGATATCTTCTGAGCACTCCTATTTGCTGAGCCTGGAGATTCTGATCCAGATGTTTAAAAATTCCAGGGAACTGAGCCTCACAATGACCAAAACAGAGAGCCACCACCTCTTCTCCAACATCACGGATGTTTATGAAGCAAGCAAAAAGTAAGTGTGGCATTTCTGTGTTTAACAGAGCTCTGCATTCTTAAACGCAACAGCAGGTTTTGTTGTGAAAGCTGAGCTAACCATTTTAGTAGTGACCATTTCTTCCAAAACTCCTGCTGGTTTGAAGATGGCAAGAACAAGTGGCAGAGATGTGGACAGGAGGGTGAGCGGGGCTGGCCTGGGATTTGTGTCTGAGGATGGGAAGGGAAGGAAAGCACTGAGTGAATCGTAGTGGAGATCAGCATCCTTCAGATGGAAGCAGCTCAGAGCTAAATGCTGATCAGGCATTCAGACCTGGTCCTTGCAGTGCGTCAAACAAAGCTTAGTCTGCCTTGTTGAGCTGTTCAGTTGGAGCTGGAGGTTTGTTCTTGCCCTGGAGAGCTGGCTGGTGCCAGGTGATGCTGAGGGTGCTGTCCTGGGGCCTCGCTGTGCTCTGGGACTGTCACCCCTGTGAGGACACCAGGGCCTGGCTCTGCTGCACGGCTGAGCTGCCCTGCTGCTGCTTTTGGGCACATTCCTTCAGTCTGGAGCCAGGAACAAGGGACACAGACACACTGCAGATTGTGCCTAAAGAGGAGGAAATGGCAGATCTTGCATGATACAGATGCAGAGAGTCTTGTTCATGACTGGTAATTACTGCCAAGTTATTTAATCCGGGACATGCATATGTATGTGCTCTGAGTACCTCACACTCTCTTTCCAAATGAATGTGACTTTGCCTCCTTGCAATTTATTCTGCGTTCACAGCAGCAGGTGGATTATGTGTTCCACATAAGTAAAGCATCAAAATGCCTGTGTTGCTTTTCTTATCCCTGCTTTCCAGTCTGAAGTGAGCACAGTGGCTGAAGGATGCTCGTGGCCTCGTGAAGGTACTGAGTGGTCTCAGCTGTAGCTCTGCACAGCTTTACATGGATCTCTACATGAGGAACAGAGAAATACTGGCCTCCTTTCGGAAGGGGGCTGAAGGTTGAACAAGGATTCTGAATAGTTTTTTATTTTGTTACCCATTCTTTTGTCCCCTTTGTAGAAATTGCAAATTTTTGAGCTCTTTAGCGTTAAACCTTCATTTACCTTGGTGGGACTTGTGAAGTTCTGTGTTCCCAGTCATGGTAAAGTCATTTCTTGGCTTTTTTCTCTGAGACCACAAAGTGTGTGGAATTTGACATCTGTTGTGCAGCAGTTTGACTTTTGTCTTCTGAAGTTTATGCAGCAGCAAGATTTTGTATTTTGGAAGCTGATGTGCTGTGTCAAGTGCAAGCCCGGTTTAGGAGTTACAGAGCAGGAGAACATTTGGGCTTGGTTGGGGACCCTTCCTTTCTCCCTCCCATTCCCTTTCTTTGTCTCTTGCAGTTGAGGTTTTTTGCCAGAGGTTGGGGCTTGTGTGGCCCCAGAGCCAGCCCAGTCTGGCAGCACTGGTGTCAGGGAGAGCAGCTTATCAAAGTCTTTGTTTTCAAGGAAAAGTTCCTTTTACAGGTACTCCTTACACAAAGTGAGGTGTAAAAGCAAAGGACGGTGGGGGTGGGGAGAGCAGTACTCCTCGGGGAACTCTGACATCCCTTTTGATTAAGAGTCTTCAAAGGAAGTGTGAGGGAGAGGAGAAAAAAGAATGGAAAAATACCACACTAGCCTAGAATTATAATCTTATTCTTTCTCATCTGTGAAGTCTCATGGTTTAAGAACTTGGTTTTTTATGACTTGGGGTAAAATCAGAAGTCATAACTCCTATTTAAACATAAATGAAAACATAATTTCTTTCCAAGTTTTGCAATACTGTTAAACTAAAACAAAACTTAGTGCTGGCTTTGAGCAACGTCATTTGTGTAAATAATGGAAGTGATTTTAAACCAGATACCAGCTTGGTGTCTCCAAACTGTTGCTTTCCATTTTCAAGGTGATTCAAAGCAGCAAAATTCACCCTTTTGTTATAAAATGGAGCATCTTTCCCACTCTGGTGTATTTTAAGCAGCCTTTGCTTGGTACAAAACCTGAGTATGAGTGTGCTTAGCAGTGGTTTTGGTTGCTTGGACAAAAGTTTGGTGAGCTGAAGAACCTGAGCTGATAAAAATACTTTATAAAAACCTTTAAGCAGTCAAAACTGCTTAAAGCCTCTGTCTAGGAACTTTGATTTGGAACACGTTTAATGGAAACTCTCCAGCAACACCAGGATAGGCCTGTAGTGCCTGACAGGGCCGTTCCTGGGGGAACAAAGCTGCCTTTGTTGGAAGCAGAATGCAGAGAGCAGAGACTTCTCTGCTTTTGGGAGCTCTCTGGAATGTCTCTGACAGAGAGGAGTGGAGATGAATAATCTGTGCAGCACATGCTGTGTGTTTATGGAAACCTCCTGGCAGGTGGCTTCAGAGGGCTGGAGTTGATGGCCCTTGTGTGATGTGCAGTGCTGGAAGCCAGCCTGACACTGCTCCAGCCTGGTCAGGAGCTGCTGGGCTGGGCTGGTGGGGATGGCAGGAATGGGACGAGTCAGGAATGCAGTCTGAGGAGTCAGGGTCGGGCAGGCAAGGGAGGGCACAGCCCCCAGGAGCCTCTCTGGGGAAAGAGGAGTCAGGGAAATGAGGGAAGTGTCTTCAGGAACAGTTGGTCTGCGGGGTCAGATCTCCAAGTTTATGGCATTTGTGCCTTCTCTGCCATTAGGCCAGCAAAGGAGAAACGCTTTTGTGATACCAGAGCAGCATTAGCAGAAAAAGGACCTAACAAACCCATTTTAACAGATGCTGTCTGGTTTTAAACTGGTCTTAGTCACAGAATCACAGAATATGAACACTCTGATTGTGATGGGTTCGTGACTTACCAAAGACATTCCCATTTTGTTGTCCCAGTGTCTGTGGGTGCATTTATTGGCTGAGTTTGTTGTCCTGCAGGTCTCACCTCTGAGCAGGTGCTGTGGGTACCTTCCTGCTGCCTGGGGAATCTCTGGAACAGGATATCTGGGCAGGGCTGCTGTGGCCTTTCCCTTGCCCTGGCTTTGTGCCACAGCACTATAAATAGCTGGAAAGGCAGTGGCTCCCCAGTGGGACAGGCCCTGGGCGTGGGCTGGTGACAGAGGAACAAACAGGGTCAGCTTCTCCTTGCTGGGCTCTGTGGCTGCTCCCTGGATATTGCCCAGGAAAAGGGGTTTTATGGGCTGGGAGTTTGCAGGGTTAGGTGTTAGATTTATGTGTGTAGCTATGTGTTGGTTTCCATTATTGAGACTGTGGGAGCTCACCAAACAAACTGATTTCAGTTCTGCACTTTAATCACCCTCTCTCCAGCCTTTTGTTTTTTGGGGTTTTTTTTTAATTTTTTTTTGTTTTTTTTTTTTTTTTTGGTTAAAAAAACTGATTTTGATTCAGTGTAAAAGTTCTACGGAAATAAGATTATTTTTCCCATTTTTTACTATTTTAAATCGCCTTCTCCTTCCCTAAGTAAAAATAATGTTGCAGATGTTCAGATTCTGTTCCTGATGAGAAGGTTCAGATTTGGAGAGGTTAATCAGAAATCTCTGTTACTTTTGGCTGAAGTTATCTCAAGTTGGCAGTTACTGCAGTGTCCCTATCTCCAGGGGGAAGAAGCTGAGTTCTGCTTGCTGCCACTGCAGTGCTTTCTGTCCCTGGATGTCAGCAGCACCCTGGAGCCAAACCTGCATTTCTGAATTTGGCCCTCAGCCTTCAGGAGTGTTGCAGAGTGGATGGTTCTTCTAAACAATGTAAGGGCAAGATGAGGGAAATCGAATTCTGTCTTATGATGCTGTTTGACTTTCTCTGAATTGGATCTAACTTTAACCAGAAAAGTCCTGGATTTAATAAAGAGATGTTTGAAATAAATCCTTCTGACGTTCAGCAAAAAGAGCTGCACACATCACAGCAAATTCCAACTTGGTTACATTGAATGGAGTCATTCCATCCCTCAGTCCTGAGCTCTATGGCAGAGTGTGTCCTAAAATTGTAAGTGAAAGGCTTTATGATGTGTCTGGTTCACTGTTTTTATCTAATAATTAGCAGATTACTATTGTGGATTGTGGAAAACTACAACTTCTGGTTAAAACTTTGGTGCAGGATTTCCTTATGGATCATACTGGGAGATGGGACTTTGATATACAGCTCCTCTTTGTCCCACTTTTCCCTTTTTTCTTTTTTTTTTTTTTTTTGTCTTCTACTCTCCCAGATCGTTACTGTTCATACAGTGACTGTCTCTGGTGATGTCACTGATGAAGCACCAGATAAATTCTAAAGGTGGAAGTTGTGGCCCAGCAGGGTCCAACACCTTGTCAGTGTGCCATTACACAGCAGGAAATGTTGGATTTCCTCATTTCCTGAGCAAAGTGAATTGGCAGCAGTGGGAGGTTCTCCCAGCCATAAACATGTCTGAGCAGAAACAAATGCCAGAGTGGGATGGGGCTGTGCTGCGGCTCCCAGACACTGCAGCCTCCCTACTCACAGGCTCTTTTTTATGTAATTTTGTTATTTACATGCACCTTGTGGGGCCGGTCCTGACACGGGATGGGTCTGTGACAACTCACTAAGTGTTGAGCCCTGGAAGAGGCTGTGGGGGACAGCAGGGTGCTGGAGGACTCTGCCTTAGCAGTGACAGGCTGTAACAAATTCTGCTCAGCACAGAGCCCTGTTCAGCAGCCAGTCCCTCTGCAGTTGCTGTGTCAGAGCTTCACAAAGAACAAAATCCAAAACCAGACCAAAATCCACCTGGTTGTGGTGGCTCTGGCTGGCCCAGGGAGAGCCTGGCAGCCGCTCAGTGCAGCAGCTGCTTCTGAGCACACCTGGAGAGCGCCTTAAATGAGTTAAGCCCTGCTGCTGCACACGTGGATGAGCAGCTGCTGTTCACCCTGTTTCTCCTCCTCACGTCTGAGGTGTGTTCCTAAAGCAAACTGTAGAGAACAGCTCTTGAAAAAAGGTAAAAAGGTGGCAGATTTGAAAAGCTGTTGTTAGTGATGCAAAAATGGAATAAAGGGCTGAAATTAAATAAAGCAGATTTCAAAATACTGGAGCTTAATGTGAGCTCATGTGTTCTAATTATTCCCTTAATGTTTTCTGTGCTATATGAGAATTTTTTTATGAACTGGTTGACTCCAGGGAGTTGAGGATTCTTGCAGTGAATCTGCTGTACAAAGGCTGCAGCCAGGACAGCTTTTCATGTGTGAGGGGTGACCACGGAGCTGATCTGCAGCTGTTCCACCCCAGATGTTGGGGCATTTCCAGTGAGCATCATGGGAATCAAGGCTTGTGTTTTAGGAGCTTGGGAGTGCAAAAAGCAGTGGGAGGCTTCCAGTGCCAAAGAGCCTCACACATAGGATAGAGCACAGGGAAGTTGTCACAAGCAGCATGGTTGGAGGAAGAGCCAGCTCAGGATTTTGGGTTCTGTGCCCATTTGCAGGGTTTCCAGGCCACGTTTGGCTCCAGTGGAGGATTGCAGGATGTGCAGCACCCTATCCTGCTCCAGCCCCACACATACCTGTATTCCATCGAGCACTGCTGGTGTTGTGCTGCCTTTAATTGCAGGAGGAAATGTGTTAATGAGTGTTTGAAATAGTTACATTTCTCTTCCAACCCCATTTCTGGAAATTCTGGTCTGACCAGCTCAGTGCTGCTGTGTGGCAGTGGGAAGTGGCTGTGCCAGTGCTGCTGCCGAGCACAGCTGTGGGCCAGCAGCAGCAATCCTGGGCCAGCAGCAGCCCTGGGCCGTGTCCTGAGCCGTGTCCTGCCAGCGCTGCCCCAGCAGGGATGGCCCCGCACAGCCCAGGCCAGCTGGCAGCACTTGGGTGACCGTGGGTGGTGTCAGGTGAATGCAGTGAGAGAAAGATGGCATTTGCATGTAAAAGTGAGCAGTTGATTTGAACCCCCAGGTTCTTTGAAGAGCTGGAGGCAAGGCACCAGAGCAGCATTTTCATCGATGACATCAGTGACATCGTGGCGAGGCACGCGGGCTCCACCTTCGACCCCTACGTGAAGTACTGCACCAACGAGGTTTATCAGCAGCGCACCCTGCAGAGACTGCTGTGAGCACCGCAGGGCCTGGGGCCTCTCTGGGAGCTGCACAGCCTTCCTGCCACAGCTCCTGCCTCACCTCGCCCTCCCTTCCTCCCCCAGTTCAGTGTCACACGGTGTGACAGTGGCCCTGTGTGGCAGGGGTGGCAGCTCCTCAGGTGCAATGTCGGTGCTGGGGCTGCTGGATCTGAGGGAATAAAGCTGAGGGCTGGGGTGATCTGACTCTTGCAAGTCACAGTTCCTTTTTTATAAAATAATGGTTTATTTAACATTTAGCAATTTGCACAATTGTTTGGTAAAACACACCATTGAATTCTTTCCTCCTCTTTCTCCCCAGAGCCACAAATCCAGCGTTTAAGGAGGTGTTGTCCCGGATCGAGTCCCACGAGGATTGCCGGAATTTGCCCATGATCTCCTTCCTCATCCTCCCCATGCAGAGAGTCACTCGTCTCCCCTTACTGATGGATGTGAGAACACCAACTTCCCTCTTTCCTTGCTGCTTGTTCTTGCAGTGTTAGCATTCTCTCCTGTTCAGGTCTGGTTCTCTCCAGTCGCTTCATGCCTTGTCCCTTACACCAGTCCTGAGCTGTGAATTATTGATTCCTGCTGCATTTGTTTGCTGACTGGGACTGGGCCCTCCTGCTCCCCCATTCAAGTTAAATGCTTGGATGTTACAATAGGAAAATTGTACAATAAAGGGTCAAAATGGTTCTGAAACTCAGGAGAAGCCAGCACAGGAATTGTTTGTAGTGCTGGGATTGGAACAAACCCTGCAGCTGAAAAACAAGAGCTGCTGTAGTGTAGGTTGGGTGAGGGCCCTTTGGCAGGGAATACTCTTGGGACTCCATTCCCAGGGGAGCTGTGTGAGTGGCACTGAGCTGTCCCTCCCTGTGCGGTGGCCAGGGACTCGGAGTGGTGGAAGTGCTGGGGAGTGTTTGTCAGGCAGGATTCTCCAGCACTTGGGGTATTTCAGTTAAGATGCCAGGACTAAGTGGGGAGCTGCAGCACCCGCAGGAGTGCAGGTTGTGATCAGGCTCCGATTCCAGCACCGGTAGGAGCCAGAAACAGAACTTACCATTTTTTGTATATTTTTAAATTGCGCACTGATGAATTTGATCACCTGGAAAATTAGTTCATTCACAGACACTGAATTCTCTCTTCTCTGCAGTATGTTTCTAGGTAAAAAATGGAATAATAATAATCCAGTATTCCTGCAGTGTGTCACTGGGGATGCCTTCCCCTTCTTGGGCTTTTCTTTCCTATACCTCCTTCCCCTCTGTGGCTGAAATAATCCAAACAAGCAAATCAAGCATTTTATTTCCCACTCTTTCAGTTTTGTTTTTTGTTTGGAGATGGTTGTATGAACCTTTTCTTAAGAGGTAAAGCATGACTTTGTTCCCAAACCTTCCCAGGGAGGCATTCCTTAGTGTGACCAAGTGACCGGTGTTCCCTCTTTATCTCAGTCCACAGGCATGATTCAGCCCCTGGATTTCAGTTAAGATGAGAAATCTCTGTGGGTTTGATCTGTGCTGCTTGGTTCTCTGAAGTAACAGATGTTTTGTTCCAGACTATTTGCCAGAAAACCCCCAAGGATTCAGCAAAATATGAGAACTGCAAGCAGGCTCTGAAAGAAGTCAGCAAGGTACATTCTCAAGTTATTCCTGTGTACTTCCAGGCAAAAATGGATGTGTTCCATGCATGAATAGTGCAGGTGGGAAGAGCAGTGAAGCATAAAAGCTCTACATTGTTGTATTTAAGGAAGAGCTCTGGGGATTTGGTTTGTGCAGAATTACTGGTTCCTGCTTGGGAAAAGATCCCAAACTGGATGATACCGTGGTGGTTCTGGGTGTGTGTGTGTGGGATCAGTGTGGGAAGTTAATCCAGCTGGGACGAGGGTGTGTGTTTGGAGCTGATCATCAGCCTGGATCAGAGCAGTGGCCCTGCTCAGGCAGAACTTGGGCTGAGCCTTTGTTGTCCCTGGAGAATCCCAAATGAGCGGGGTGCTGTGGGATCCCTGGGTGAGGAGGCTCTGGGAGCGGTGCAGCCGCGGGGACAGCCCTGGTCACTGCGGCCCTGCAAACACCACGTTGAGGTGGACGTGTCCCAGCTGGGGGTTTGTGCCCCAGAAGTTCCTTTCCAAGGGAGCAGCAGTTTGTGCTGGAGGCTCGAGGCTCAGCCCCTCTCTCGTTTGCAGCTCGTGCGTCTGTGCAACGAGGGCGCCCGCAAGATGGAGAGGACGGAGATGATGTACACCATCAACTCCCAGCTGGAATTCAAAATCAAGGTAGGGTGAGGATCATAGTCCTGAGCACTCGGGACAATGAGTGGAACAAACAGTGGAGCTTTCCCGGCATGGTCACATCCCACAGTGATTCTTGCAAAGAAGTGATCTGTTGTGGCATGATAAATTAAAACATTTGGTCAAGTATTTTAATTTTAGTAGAGAGTGATGCTACAGCACAAGGGGTTTTGAAGAAATACTGAGTGAAGAGAATTCTTTGCTGTAAAGATAAAGCTGCTGTGAAGACTTTGGTGTTAGGAGAGAGGCCGAAGGCTGCTGCTCAGTGCTGAGATTTGCTTATGTACCTGATGGGAAAGGTGTGCCTGGGAGCACACTTCCAGGCCAGGGAAGGATCCAGAGGGTGTTTGTCCTTCCTCTTAAGGGTGGGATATCACAGGTTTCTATTAAAAACTTCTTGTACAATCAGTCATAAGGTAGGGGAATGTTATTGGACTTTCTTCAAGTGCATTTATTGTTTCTGTTCAATGTTTGTTACAATCCTGTTTCTGTAATTGATGTCTGATACCATTACACAGTGAGGATTCTCTGGGGAAAAGATTGTTTAATTATCAGGTATGTAGTGGGAGAAGGTTGGTTCATGGTTTTACAAGCACAGCTCTTGAAAGGCTCTGGGTCAGGCATAGGGCAAATGCTGCCTCCAAAAAGACATTTTCAACTTGCCTAAAGTATTTTTATTCTCAAACTTTGTCTAAAAATTGGCAGTAATAATATTTTCTTATAGCAACAGCAACAACAAATACAACACTTCTGGGCAAGTGACACCAGAGCATTTCCTGATGGGTGGTAACAGACTCAAGTCCTCAGCCAGTGTCAGGGCTGAGCTGCTCTGTGGTTCCACTCAGATCCCAGGAGTGCCTCGGGATCTGGGCCTGCAGGGCCTGGAGTCCCTCACCTTCTCCAGGACAGGACATGCTGACTGTCCCTCCCATGCTGTCCATCCCTCTCTGTCCCTATCCCTGTGTGTCCCTCTCTGTCCCTGCCCATCCCTATCTGTCCCATCCATCCTTTTCTCTTCCTGTCCCTTGTGTCCATCCCTGTCCCAGTCCGTTCTTGTCCCTATCCATCCCTCTCTGTCGGTATCCCTGTGTCTCCCTCTCTGTCCCTGTCCATCCCTGTCCCTGCCCATCCCTCTCTGTCCCTCCTGGCTCTGTGGCCCCTGGGTGACCCCAGGCTGCCCTGGAGCAGCTCCTGCCGGTGCTGTGGCAGCAGCAGCAGCTTTGGGGGCTTTGTCTGGCTGTGCTTTTGTGGGATTTCCCTTGGTGCATCCAAGGCCCAGCCCTGCAGCCCCTCAGGCCCTGTCAGGGCGGGGAAGCCCCACTCTGGTTAAATGCATTTTTCACTTCTGAGAGCTTCTTTTCTGCAGCAGGGACATGGTGCATGTGATTTGCTCCTTTGGCAATTAAGGAAAAATTAAAATAAAACCAAGCTGCCTCTGGAAGAGAGTCAATTAGGAAAATGGGATGAACTCATTTGGAGTACAGATTAGAGGAATTTTTTGTTCGTCCTCAAATAGAACTTTTAAAAGTATTTTTTGCTTGTAAACCAATCATCATGGGACTGTAATTCTGTTTTATAGCCATTATAAATTAGTTAAAGTATTTCTGTTCTTGCCCAGCTTCACAGAGTTTTGGAGATTGTTTATTATTTTGTTAGATGTAACTGTGGAGAACTTCATGGGAGCCCAAGGGAAGTGATGCAAATCTTGTGTTGCTTGTGTACATGGCTCAACTGTAGAATTAAATTTTTAATTAAGTTTCAGCAGTTTTTGTTCTTAAATTTTGCATCTTCTGCACAAGAGAAGCTGTGGGGGTTTGTTTGTGGGAGTCAGTGTTTGCTCTTCTCGCAGCGCTGAGTTGGGGTTTGGCTCAGCAGGTATGGGCAGGCTACAGTTGGCTTGGCCAAGGGATTAACAGATACAAAAAGCCAACTCATGCAGAATGGGGAAGGCAGCTGACAAACTGCATGAAGGGATATTTTTTAAAGGCATGTGAAAGCTGCTTAAATGCGGGGAAAACAGGCAGTTGTGTTCATTCATGTGGACCTTGGGCTGCCTGGAGTGTCTGCCTCGGGGCAGTCTCAGAGGGATCTGTGTCACCAGGACAGTCCCACATCTCCCTCTGCCTTCCTGGCCCAGAGAAGGAAAGGTCCTCCTGTGGGCTCTGTCCCCTGCAGCTGGGAATCATTTGGATTAATGAAGGCAAGTCTTCACATCAGGCAGCTCAGATCCTCTGGGGCTTTGGTGCAGCTGCTGCAGGTGTTTGCCCTCACTTAGGGAGAAAGGGAGCTCCATCCAGAGGAGCTGGGTAAAGAGAGGAGCTGTAGGATCCCTAATTAGCCATTTTCAGTGAAGCCTGACAGGTAACTGAGACACTTCAGGAGCCCCAGTGAGAACAGCAAGGCCATGGAAACCTTTCCCTGGTGCTATGGGGGGAGAGCCCTCAGAGGGGTGTGGAAGGAAGGAGGCTGTACCCGCCCGTCCTGGTGACACCGGCACAGGGAATGCCACCTCTGGTCCAAGAACAGCCCAAGGTCCTCAGGGCTCCCATGGCCCCACGTGCTTCAGGAGCGGGACTCACCCTGCAGACACATTCCTGAAGTCAGGCTGTGCCCTCAGGAGGTCTCACAGCCTGTTCATCCCCCGTGTGATCAGTCAGGTCTGTTCATTTCTACTTTCGATGAGCAGTGATGACAGGTGCCCGAGTGATTCCCAGGTATTTGCAGCTGCTACCTGTGCGTTGTAGCAATGATGGAGTCCCTTAAATTTTGGTAACCTCTTTGTGTTTTTAATCTCTGAGCTTTGAGTTTATACAAGCATTTTTCCCAAGTGGATCATACTCCCTTGTATGATTTGGAATTCTCTGATTTGGAAGGATTATAATGTGATTTTCTTGCCCTGCAGCCATTTCCATTGGTTTCCTCTTCACGGTGGTTGGTGAAAAGGGGAGAATTAATGGCCTATGTAGAAGACACTGGACTCTTTTCCAAAAGAACCTCTAAGCAGCAGGTGTACTTCTTCCTCTTCAACGACGTCCTCATCATCACCAAGAAGAAGAGGTAAGAGCTTCACTAAAACTGCTTTTGTGTTCAGTCCTTGAATCACAGTGAACATGATCCTGGCTGTGGAATGAGTGCAGGAGTTATTTGAGCCTCTGTCATGGGTTACAAATAACAAGTAACTGCTTGTTAAACAGGATTTACTTTTGGCAAACACAATGAAGATTCCAAATTGTCAGACGAATTAAAAATATGATTCTTAATACACTAGCAAAGAAAGAAGTTTGGGAAGGATAAAGTATTGGGAATGTCCTTTCCCCTCCACACTTCCCACGATTCCAGGAGCATGAAACTCCCTCTGCCCAAGTGCCAAAGCTCCTTAACGGTGCTGGAGCTCTGAGTGAGCCGTGCTCCCACCCACAGTGTTGCCATGGCGCCACATCAGTGGACAGAAATGTTTATTGCTAGTTGGGGTTGAATGTTTGTGGTTTTCCTTGAGCAGCTGAATCTCAGAAGACTCTTAACATTGCACTAAGGCAATGTTCACTCTCCTCACTTTGTGCTAAAAATGGCCATTTCTGAGGCTGCCCTTGGGGCTTTACCCAGAGCTCATGTCCAGCCTTGGCTCAGCAGCCACTGCCCAGCTCTGTCCCAGCTCTGTCCCCGCTCTGGCCCCCCAGCTCTGTCCCAGCTCTGTCCCAGCTCTGTCCCAGCTCTGTCCCAGCTCTGTCCCAGCTCTGTCCCAGCTCTGTCCCAGCTCTGTCCCCCCAGCTCTGTCCCCCCAGCTCTGTCCCAGCTCTGTCCCAGCTCTGTCCCAGCTCCACATGCTGCAGCTGTGGCTCTGACCTGCTGGAGATGCTGCAGAGGACGGGGCCAAAGGGCTCTCCAGTCACAGGGCTGCTCCCTGGGACTGGGCAGGAGGGACACGGGGATTTGGGATGTGCACAAGGCTTTGAGGAGGGATAAAAGGCTGCTTTTCCCCACTGCTCAGCTTTTAATTTATTGGGAATGTTTCTTCTGCCAGTTGTCCTTGTAGCCCCTGCTGTGTGTAGACATAATCTGATTTAAAAAAAACCAAAAAAACCATTAAAAATGACGTAATACTTGCCAAGCACTAACGCAGTGTCTTGAGAGGAGCAGTCAGTGGCAGCAGGGCCGGGGATGCTGGGTCCTGGGGAGAGGCCAGCTGGGATGTGGCTGGTGCTGAGGAAGGGTCAGTCCTGCTCACACAGCCCTGCCTGGGGGCTGGGCTGGGGCACGAGGTGAAGGGTGTGGGGAGATCAGGGCAGTATTGACTCCAAGGACTCGAGGGAAATGCACTCACTGCTTTTACATGGGTTTGGATTCCCTTCAGCAGGAGTCTGATCCAAAGGGTTTGTGGGATGGAAGTGAGGAGTAGGAAGGATTTGTGGAGGTTTATCTGTTGATTAATTAGTAAGAAATGCTGTTATGATTAGCTGTGCACATGTTCAGACTAGCTGATTAATTCATAGGAAATGCATTTATTATTCATTGCACAAATGCATAGAGACATTTCTTTTTCAGACACAAAATTCCCAGGTAGTGATGGCAGCACTCCCAGCTGGGATTGCCAGTTCTTCCCTTGGCTAAGGAGTTATTCAGCCTAAAATACTGAACTGAGTTCTTTAAAAAAAAACACCACACCCCCCAAAATTCCCAAACTTACTCAAAAAACCAAGCCCAAACCAACCCTTCCCCTGGTTCAGAGCATCTGAGCAGGGTTGGTTCCATTTAGAAGTATGTTCTGTGTCCATTGTTTGGGAGTGCACAAAGCTGTTCTGCAGAGAGAACCCAAAGCCATCTCAGTGTTTATTTCACAGAACACCGGTGAAAATGTACCCCGAGAGCTGAACTAGGGTTTTGTGTTGCACCAGACCTGCTGGCAGAAGTTGGTTACCCCGTGTGGAGCTGGGTGGTGCTGGAAGAACTGTCCCTACGGTGGTGTTAGATGTGGCTGTGACTGCGGTTGCTTCCACACAAATGAGTGAATGGGAAACTGAATCTTAACTGGCGTTTCCTAAACCTTACCTGGTGCTTTCTTCCTTCTGGCTGTGCCCTGCAGTGAGGAGAGTTACAATGTCACCGAGTACTCGCTGCGGGAGCAGCTGCTGGTGGTGCCCTGTGACGGGGAGGATCCCTGCTCCTCTCCCGGCAAGAACGCGGCAGGGATGCTCCACTCGGGACGGAATTCTGCGTGCCACCTCTTCAGGCTCGTGCTCCTCAGCAACCATGCCGGGGACAGGGTGGAGATGCTCCTGGGAGCAGAGACTCAGTGAGTACAGTTACTTAAGAGATTTCTTCACCTGATTGTCTCTGGGCTGCTCCTCCCACCCTGCCCAAAGTAGTAAATATTTATTTATTTATTTAGATTACTTATTCTGGTTTATTAATTTAAACTGCTGGGTAAAGCCTTGATTACCCTGCCTGCAGAGATCAGTGTAGCCGTGCCCCGGGCAGGTTCCTGTGCTCATGTCCCTCTCCTCCAGGGTCAGCGCTGCAGGTGGGTGTCACCGTGGGGCTGTGGCACGCCCGGAGTGCTCTGGGCCCTGAGCTGTGATGGTTGGTGGTGATGGCTGGATGGTGCAGTAGAGCACAGCTAATGCAGGAGGAGCCCTGCTCCTTGCTCTCCCGGGTTCCCTGAGGAGTGTCCTGCCTTTGAAACCAGCAGCCAGTGCCTGCTCGAGGATGTACAAATGCCATCAACTTCCACACGACCTCCCAGCACTGAAAGAGTTCATTTGTTCTGGGGGAAGCTGGAGGCGGGACAGAGACATGAGTGGGAGTGCTCCAGACATGGCCCTGCCTGGAAAAATCGATCGTTTTAGGTTGGCTTTCAAAGTTTAGAATAACTGTGAAAGGAACTGAAGATCATCAGTGCTTACTATTAAAGATCTCATTATGAAGGCAGGAGATGATTCAGACTTGTTTGGAAATGAAATTTTATTGGGGAAAAATGCAGGACATTTTTAGTTGTCTCTGCTTTGTATGAAAAGACATTTTGTTCTGCAGACTTATTATTGATATGTTCTGTGCTGTTTGCAGTATAAATAGCAGTCCAGCTGATCATCACTCACAGCAAGAGTCTGAAAAGAATTCCTGTATTTTTTTTAAGTTACCTGTTTTTATAGTCTTACCCTTTGAGAAGGATGGGAAAGGAATTTCCATGGCCAAACAGTTCAGACAGTTGACCATGCAGGTAAAACCAAAATGTTTTCTCTGACACAAAGATTTTCAGCACAGTTGGATCATGTTTTGCCACCTCCTGTGGCACGTGGGTCCCAAGGACAAAAGTACCAGTGTTAGGTGAGAACTTTCTATTGCCCTATGAAGAAGGCAGAGCAGGCAGAGGTGGTGATACTCAGGGGTTACTCACAGGAGCTGAAGGGAGAGGTGCTGGCACTGGAAGAAGTAAGGGCAGTCTCAGTGCTGCCCATTATCCAGGGCACGAGTTGGGACACTGGGCTCTGCTTTGCAGGAGTGACAGAGCCCGCTGGATCACGGCGCTGGGCCAGGACAGTGACGGGCACCACACGGACAGGACCAGTAAGTCACAGCTGCTGGGACTCGTGAGTGCTCTGCAGGGGAACAGCACTGCCCACACTGGGGCCAGGCTGGGCTGCAACTACCCTAAGTGATGGGGGAAGGTGTAGAGTGGACACTTTTTAAATGAATGGTGATGTGTTTGTAATAATCACCTGCTCTGTGAATGGCTTAACTAAGCCTGGCTCACTCCTTCCCCAGCACTGGCTCAGGTGGAGATCATCAGAACCTACACAGCCAAGCAGGCCGATGAGCTCTCTCTGCAAGTCGCTGATGTTGTTTTGCTTTATCAAAAAGTGAATGATGGTGAGTGAGGATTTTGCTGTCCGTAACCATTTGTCACCTCTGCAGGGGGATCCAGCTACAAAAACTTGTTTCCTATTAGCACAGGACTGCAGTGAGTAAAAGTTCAGCTGCCAAGGAAAACGTACTCATTTAGGTTCAGGTTTCTAAAGGAAGCAGCAGATACAAGCAGCTGTAGAATGTGGCTGCTGGCCAGCTTTGGCATGGGAGGTGTCCACAAATAGGAAACTGAACTTGTCTAAAACCATGGAGTTCAGACATTCTAGTGAGTGCCAGGGTTGTCCAAGAGAAACATCCCCAGTCTGTCGTGCCACGGCCTGGGCTTTCCTGCTACAGCTTTGGCACAGGGTGGTTGCTGAGGTTTTCCACAGGATCAAGTATCCCAAGATCAAAGTGATTCCTGCCTGGGCCTACCCACAACTGCACTGATAGCACCAAGTGCTGGCTCAGGGATGCAGGACACTGTCAGTACTTGAGGGACTCAATTCTAACTTGTGGTTGCTCAATTACCTGTGAAATCAGGGATCCTGTCACTCGTGCTGCATTGCTCTCTTCAGATTACAGCACTACTATAGCATCACTTCAAACAATATTTGAATGACAAAAAAGATAGTTAAATTGTGCAATACTTTGCAGAGATTATTTTTTTCCCAGTCTGTCTGTATTAAAAACATCTGCCAAAGCTATCCTAAACTGATCTTTGATTCCCAGTCAAGGCAAGTGCAGAATGTATGTGATGACAGTCAGCTGGGTCACCTCAGTGCCACCAGCCAGGGGTGGGGTCAGGGGCAGAGGTGTCACTGTTGTCCCTTCCCTGCAGGCTGGTACGAAGGGGAGCGGCTGCGGGATGGCCAGAGGGGCTGGTTCCCCTCCGAGTGTGCCAAGGAAATCACCTGCAGGGCCACCCTGGACAAGAACATGGAGCGCATGGGACGCCTGCTGGGGCTGGAAACCAACGTGTAGCCTTGTCCTCACCCCCTACCCTGGGGGCTGCTCTGGCTGGGACTGGGGACAGCGGAGCCACAACCCAGCAGCAGCACACTGGAGCCTCACGCTGGCTCCGGCAGCTCCAAACTGAGCCCTGTCCCCACCAGCAGCACCTTGCAGCAGTGGCCTGAGCACTCTTCTGCAGCTCCTGCCTCCTTACACTCTTGCTCCATCTGCTTTGGAGCATCTGAACTTGTTTTCAGCCCCAGAACTCTGCAGGGGCCTGGGTCCCCTGGCCCCACACCTGGAACTGGCAGTGAGCAGCAGTGTGACACCTGCACTCGAGGGACCAGCTCTGTACTCTGTAAAGGCTGACCTACCTCTGCAGTGCAAATCCAGGGCTGGCCCCAGCCTGGCACAGGCAGAGCCGGCACAGCCTCGGTGAGGAATCTGCAGCTGTGCCTCCATGAGGCTGCTCAGACTGGCTCCATGTCCTGCTGTGGGCAAAGGATTTCTGAAGAAAGGTACCACACTCTGCAGCGTCAGTGCTGCTGCTCCATCTTAGCACAGGTATTTACTGCAGAGGAACTGCTGCAAGTGGGGCAGTGGTTTCTGCTTTCCTCAGGGCTGATGAGGTCTTGCACTTCACTCAGTGCTTCCGAGCAGCGGTGTGTTGAGAACATGAACTGCACTGACTGCTCGGGGAACAAATGCCCTCAAGGGTGAGCAGTGTTCCGGGCACGTGGCTGGACAGGTGTGAGAGTCTGTATGATAAAACCCTCCCTTTTAAGGACCAGCTGCTGCCTCAGCAGTGTGGAAACTGCTCACTAAGAAACAAGGAGACAACTTGTAGTACCAAGGCTTTCTTCTTGTTGCCTTCCCCAGCCTCTGCAAAGAGGAGGAAGATGCTGGTTTTTATCCTGCAAGATGCTGATTTAAGTGGTGAGTGAATTGGGTGTTCATAAAGATGTGTAGCTCTAATAATTTAAACTACATTAGGAAGACAGTAATTTTGTACAAAAATACTTATCTAGACAGTGTGACAGTGGTTATACATACAGCCTTGCAAATTAATTTATAAGTGGACTGATAAAATAGTAATGAAACTGTAAATTGAACAAAGACTTATTTAACATTGTTAACATACTGCTAGCGTTTTAACAAATTTTATTGTATACTTTGCAGATGTTTAACACATAACTGAATGTATAAATCCAGGCATTAATTTTATTCAGATTTTTTTAATACACTGTATATATTTTTCATACCTAGTTTTTCCAAAAATGCTGTAATGTTTTGTAAAGACATTTTTCATTTTTCCTATTGTTGGACACAGTTCTTCAGGAATTAAAAGACTTCTATGATTTTATAGGACAACAATCAATAAAATGCTTTTAAATCCTTACTAAAAAAAGTTTTGCTTTTTTTTTAAATGCCATAAAGCTGCCAGTTGCTGTTGTCATTTTTGTCAGACAAATTAAATCTCTTCAGTAAACACTGGCACTTTAATTTTTCCTGTTCTGTAAGATGAATAGCACCATCCTGTGTCCTGCTTCATCTGTCAGAGATCCCATTTATTTGTTGGTCTTGGAGCAATGGCCTGGGACAGCATCTCCTTGCTGAGACACTATTTAAGAGGGAGATGGGAAAAAGTCTTCATTTTCCAGAGGGTTTAGCACAGTTCATCTGGAAGGGACCTACAGCCGTGTGCAGTCCAACCCCCTCAGGGCTGATCCAGTGTTAAATCCCGTTCCCGAGTGTTCTTAAACCTCCTCAGAGCCACATCCCCACCTCTGCAGGGCGCCTGTTCCAGGAGCTGTGCCTTCCCCAGGGCAGCTCTGCCTCCTTGTGCCCAGTCCAAACCCCAGCTTTAATTGTTATTCCCCAGCCTCCTGTCCCTGGAGCCCAGCAAGGGGAGCTCAGCCACTCCACGTTATTTTCATTAGCAGAAAAAAAAGAAAAAGTTGTTTTTAACACCGACTTCTCTGTTAGCACTGCTATTGCAAAGGAAATCAGCTGACAACCCAAGTCCTTCGTCAGCCCCTGTACACTTCAAACACACACAGACACACTTTTTAACTGGGGGTGGGCTTTACACCAGTACCTCCTTTTTAATTAGAAGCCCAGCACTGACAGAAGTCAGCTGGGAGTTTATTACTGTAAAATCAGCTCTCATTTTTGCAAGACATGGAATGTGTGTCCCCTTCCTTCTGTAACTTCCCTAATCAGGAAGCAAATTGCCAAAAGGCTCTCAAGTTGCCCAAGTTGCAATCTCCAAGTGAGTCGAGGTGCCTGCATGTCTCTGGTGGCTCCATATGGGCACCTGTTCAGAAGTCCAGTGCCCACCTGACTTGAACCTGGCAGTCATGGCACACCTAAGAACAGGTTTTGGTACTGTCCTTTCTGCTGCTGTATACCAGCCCTGCAACATAACAAATACATCTGTATCTGCTGAAGTTTAATATATGTTGTGATACAGTGTTGTTCTTGAGTTCCACCGCAAAGAGCACATTTGTTTCCACTATGCAAAGCTAATTTACTGAACATAATAAGGTAAAAAAAAAGGACGACTTTAGTCACCCTACACGTGCTGAGAAAGCACAGTCTGCTCAGCATCATACTCATATTTCAAATCCTGGATCAACAAAATATATTCACAAAAGTTCCCAGGTTTCCCAGGTATATTTTGTTTCTAAAATAACACACATAGGTAAAACAAGTATATAGAACACAAGTGTTGGAAATAAACAGTAAATCTTTGCCTCAACCAAGGTTGAGGAGCTCTAAGGCATTACTTGCTTTGATCTGCAAATTATTTTCAACAGCTGTATCAAAACTTCATCATTTAGGCAAACTGGAGATAACATGAGGGCAGCAGAATTTACTACATCACTGAACTGTTACATTCCATAACCCAGAGTTCTAGAAGGTGCTAGTAACTAAGAGAGAAGCAGACTTCATTAAGTACAACATGACCTGACCACTCTTTGTCTTGGGCTGGCTGTTTAGAAGCCAAGTTACAAACCTTACATCAGCCTTACCTCTTCAACTTCTAAATAACCTAATGTGGTGGTTAAAGCCTGGTTTGCAGCTCATCCCCACAGCTGGATGGGGAGTAAGGGGCAAAGTGAGAGAAGTCATGAGTTGGGATAAAGAGAGTTTAAAACAATAGCTGCATGTGCAAGCAAAGCAAACCAAGGAATTAATTCCCCACTTCCTGAAGGCAGGTGGATGTTCAGCCAGCCCCAGCTCTGTGCGCAGAATGCAGACTTGAGAGGACAAATGGCAGCACTCCAAACATCCTCCCCTTCCCCTGCTTTATCCTGAGCATGATGGCCTGGGACATCCCAGGGGGCAGGCAGGGTCAGCTGTCCTGGCTGTGGCCCCTGCACACCCCTGGGCCACCAGACCCTGGGCTTGCTCAGCCATACCTGGAATAACACTCATAAAAAAATTAAAAATAAAAATCCAAACACGGCATTACACACACTAGCAAGGAAAAATTAACCCGAAGCCAGCACCCCTACCATTTATGCTCACTTGCAAACTCTGAAGAACACAGAAGTTTCTGCTACCTTCGTGCATAGAAGAGTATGCTAGGCTGTGTGCTTTAAGCACTGTGAAAAAGTACAGCAGTATCACTATTTACAGTTCAATAACTTCCTAACCTCTACCTGTGACCACTCTGAGTGTTTCTTCTGGGGAAGGCCCTCATGCCACTGCTGACCCTGAACCTCCACAATGTTTGAGGGAATTAATCTTCAATTGAAACTACAATTCTTATTTAGGCTCTACCACTGTCATTTCCTTTTGCCCTCCTTTTGCATTATTAAGAAATTAGCTATCATGTCTTCTAAATACTGCAAAAATCATTAACAAGGAGAATAATGCAGGTACCATGTGCCAGCCTGCATTTTGTTACATTTAATTCAGCTACGCCAATAGCAGCACCACAGCCTCTTTTTCCTCAATAAAGCACCGATTTTTCCTCAATAAAGCACCGATTCGTGAGGCAGATCAGCCCGCCCGGCCCGGGCTCCGCGCCGCCCCTCAGGACAGGGCGCCATTTTGTTCCCTCATGCCCCAGCGATGCCCATTGTTTCCAGCACAGAAATTCCGCACTACAAGTTATTTCGTTCTTATTTCCACACGGTTATCACCAATTTAGTCCCCTTTTCTCTCCCCTTTGAGTCCGGGGCTTACCTCTAGCAAGCCTCCTCGAAGCGGAGGGTCCCGGAGCCGTCCCCGCCCGGTCCCGGAGCTGTTCCCGCCCAGTCCTGCCGCAGCCGCGCTGCCCTCACAGCCCCGCTGGCCCCCGGGGAACTTTCCGGGCCTGGCTTCTCCCTCCCCGCGGCCGCCGGGGTCTCTTTTCCCCCTCCTCAGACTCCCTCCGGCATCCCCAACCCCCGCAGCAATGCGATTCTCCTCCTCCGCCTCGTCATTTAAAACACCTGAGGGTGGAACAGTAGCTGGAGGTGGGCAGGGGGGTTAAACGATGTGTTAGTGTTGTGCAGCCGGCAACGAGGAGCTTCACACCCTCCATCCCTTGTTAACCCAATGGAAAGCAGCGCCTAGCCAGTAACTTCCACTTACAAGTTTCACCTGAGCTGCTCTGATTTCTTCGGGAAAAAGCACATAAATCCTCCTGCTGATGATTAAAGTTATTTTTGCAAAGAAAAAAAACGAACAAAACACCAAAGAAGGGAGAAAAGTTCTATTTCCAGGCTTTTTTTTTCTCAAGGATAAGCCTCAAAATCCTTAACAAACTTTGTTATTCAAATATTCTTCCATAGCTGGAGATCATTCAAAACAGAACAACATTCAAAACATTGAGAACAGTTGAAATAAGACTTGCAAAAAAAGATTCTTAATGGAATACTATAACCCATACATGAACTTCTTTAAAAAAACCAAAAAAACAACTCAAATGAAATGAAACCTTAACATATAACCCAACATGACTTTTATCTAACCATGCTTTCTGTGATCTGTAATTTCAGTCAGTAGTGATGATGGATGGGGACAGAAAGCAAAGGAAGATTAATTGAATGGGATGAAATGCAGAAAAGGAGAATTTCTGAAGATTGTTTCCTCCCGCCATACAAATTCAACATATGTTTTCAAGTTTAGTTTAATTAAGCTGTAATTATCTTCTGTGGAAGTGTTGGTGAGCAGACTGCTGCACAGCTGGAATAACACAGCAAGTATAATTACCGCACCCCATTAAAAAAAAAAAAAAACAAAACAGTTTAGGTATTACTAAGCAGTATTTTAGCAGGTTGTTTTTAATATTTGTAACCTGATGGATAAAAATCCCAAAGAAAACAGCTACAGCAGGACAAGAACTTTACACCACCCAACAACTGCCGTTCTCTCCCTCACAAAGCTACACCGAGCACAGAACACATGCACGTGCACATACTGCCAACTAGCTCCGCATAACTGCTCCTCAGGATGAGGAGATTACCAGCTTACCCTACAAAAGTTGTTCTTCTAGCTAAAGAAATGCTTTAAAAAAGAAGGCGACTGGGCTGGCCTGGGTGAAGTGTGTCAGCTGTAGCGCTCGCCCTGGAACCGCGGTGCGAAGTTCCTGACGCCCTCGTTCTCCTGCGTGGTGATTAAGTCTATAATAGCTGTCAGCACTGCTGTATCCCTGCATT